TCCATCATATTTTTAATTACAAATGGGAAATATATCAGACACAGACTTGTCTCATGTTGGCATTTCCAAAGGCTTTTCCCAGTTAGGCCAAGACTATGTTGCTTTATCTTTTTTTTTTTTAATATTTTGTTGAGATTGAGTGATTCACAGGAGATATTATCAGCTCTTTCAGCTCTAGAATTAAACCCAAATAATTCCTGTGTACTCTCCAGAGAAGGAGTCTCTTGTTTTGAACTGGAATCTGAGATGCCAGCTTTTGTAGGCAATGGTAAACATTAGGAACCAGCCCAGAAAAGTGCTTATACTTTAAGTATAACTTGAATTGTTATTGAGAAAAATTATTTTAATAGCAACTCTCAAGTATTTAAAGCTACAATCACAATAAAATGCATTAATGGATCAAGATTTTATGTAACTATTTTTAAAGCAATAGATTTCATTACTAAACACTTAACCTACTGCTTCATTCATTTCCTATTTCATCATCCATTTGTGGATTTATTATTTTACTTTCAACCTATGTTTTCTTTTTGGGCCTAATTCCTTCTACCTCTCATAATTTCTTACACAGGCTTTCTTTTAGTGGAGCCTACAAATAAATTCCTCTTCCAATGCATCGTAGTTCAGTGTATGCAGAAAAGGTAGTAGTAATTTGGTAGTTTTCCTCTACTTAAAACTTTATGTGTTCTGCCTTACTGACTTTTAGATTAGTGCAGGACTGGATAGCTCGTGGAAAATCCACTACCTAAATGAAGCATAATCACTCAGTAGGCCACTGAAATTGGAATCTTTACTGTTGGCATTTCTAAATGTAATGACTGTGTATTCCTTGAAATTTGGCACTCCAGTGCTTTATTCTTTTCATCATGTCTAAATTATGAGATCAGGACATAAAAATACCTTCTTGTGTCATCTTTTTCTGAGAAGCTCATTCAAAAATAGAATATAATATCAGAGCCAGTGCATAAAGCTAAAGTAATCATGATAGAAAGTTACTTAAATATAGACACATTTCAACAAATTATGTGCAACAAAAAATTGAACTAATGCCGTTAAACAGGGCTCTCTGCACAACAGTCTATGTCTCAACTGAATACGTGCTCCCACCGAGAACACACATAACAGTTACAAAAACTTGACATGAGTTGAAACCTGCTTGAATCAGAAAAACTAATTTCTTCTTTTAGTTTTCATTTGGCAACTTTTTCAAAAGTTGCATATATTAGCCTCTAATTAAGGACCTCTTGGCACTACCTCAGTGCTTTATGGATAAGCGGCATTTATGTTAATTCTATCCTTATTAAAAAGATGTCTTTACCATTCACTGTCATTAGGCTATCTGGGTAGATACTCCAATAAAACTGTATGCAAATTAAATTTATGCCGGTTAAAAGGAGTTCATGGTAATGGTAACACCTTTCAATAACGTTTTCATAGTCGGAAATACAGTTCTCTGAGACCAAATCTGAGCTCTAGCACTTCAGCTGGAGCACTAGTGTGAGAAAATCACCCTTGAGAGAGTCCACTGAGACAGGGATGCTGCCTGCAAAACAAGGCTAGGGCATCCAGAGACTGTCATGTGGGGGTTCTGTGACAGTGAAAGGGAGGGACAGTCATGGTCATAAAGTTGTTTGTTTAGAACAAGAAGTTCTGCACAGTGCTTTGCATGCACTACTTCTGCCCCAGACCGTCACCACTGTCTATCAGAACAGCACCATCCTCACAGACACCATTAAATGGACCACTCACCTACACAGGGATTCACCTAATCGAGGATTTAAAGAATATGGAGAAGTGTGCAATTTTGTGGTAAAAGGTAAAGCTAGCTATAAAAATAAAGAGAACTTATTTAGAAACAACTAAAAGAGTATGTATTATAATTACAGATCCACTACAGTGTAAGTATATTTTCTGGACAAAAACATTAGCAGTCCCCCAAAATGTCGGTGTCAGTATAGAATAAATATAATTATTCTTTTTTGGGTATATTATTACAGGCAGCAGTACATAGAAATCAAAAGACAAATTAACAAAGAGATTTGGAACAATAAACACCAGTCTCAAACTACTTAATATGAAACTACAGTAGATTGCATTCAGTCACCTACAACAAAATGCTTCATGGGACTAGGATGAAAAATTAATGTAATGGTATAAAACTGAAAAGAGTATTCCTAGAATTGGTAATTGACACTGTTTACTGAAATCTCAAAACTACAAAAATACCGAATAAAAAACCCAAAGCATTCTTGACAAATGGGAATAATGCTTACTACATGTGGAAAAATCGAACACTAAAGGCAAATGGGAATATTTCATGTCTAAGCAACTTGTAGGTATTATCCCAGATTTCCAATTTTATTTGACACATACGCTTTTTTGAACATGGGAAAATAAACTGAATGAAAATACCTTCTGCCACAGTGGCCAACATCTCAGAAGTCTGGCCATAAAAGAATGTACATGAAAATCTCTTAACTAGGGCCAACATTCCTGTAACTGATATTAAAAAGACTCAGAAATATTTTTTTTTATTTCCTATTAAAATAAATATCCAAAATACTAACTTATATAAATTTTGTAGGTAATGGAATTGCTACTGCAGAGATGAAAATTTGAAAAAACACTATAGAAATATGCTACAAGTTAACAGAATTAATAGTGTTGAGAAAAATGCAAATCAAATTTATATGGTCCCTAGCTTCCAGAAATAAGCATACAAAACAGTAAATTTTGAAGTTTTCTAGCTGTTACTGGTAACTACAGAAAAATGTAGTAGGAATTAAAAAAAAAAAAGGATTATTTTGTTCTCAAAGATGCCAATGGTAGTTGAAAACAGTGTATTTTGAGTTTTCTATGTTTTGCTAATACTGCAGTGGTTATAATATCATTAAAGTGATTCTCAGACGTTGACTACCGAAAGCAGTGGCAATATGATCCTGAGGCTGCTCTCATTTATGCCAGGCACTGGCTGGTTGCAGAACTGGAGAAATAGGAGACAGACATGTTCAGGCTGATCTAACAACATGCACAGCTGCATTTTTTTTACTTCTCCTCTCCCGCCCCCATCCTTCATTTCTCCTCTGCATAGCCATTTCTGCATCACGGACTGTCCGTACCAGATTTCAGACACAATGGTCAGCTCTTCGGCTGTTTTAAACCAAAATATCATAATTAATACTGGGTTGTAATTGTAACTGATAATGAACTCTGGAAAAGGGTACAAAATGAATAGCAGTTTGAAGCTATAGCCCTTCCCACACAAAACACCCTATTCATTTCAGCCACCTGCTGTCTTCTGATACCCTCGGCACATAAGTATCTCATTCCTCTCAGCATACCTGTGTTCTGGCCCAGCTCTCTATCCTACCTGTGCTGCTGTGCTGTCGCCCTGTACTGTAACCCAGCCTAGCCACAGAGCTTATCTTACTGGCACTGTGCCACCGTACCATTTCTGTGTGACATACAACCTGAAAGTGTCCCACAGACTAGTGAAGAAGAGTAGAGGTGTCATGGAGCAGAAAGACAGCTACTTTCTTCATTCCAGAAATCTTTCTCTTGCTATTAGCGCCAAAAATACTTTCCATAATAGCCAAGGAAAATATGCTGCTAACTGTATAAGCAATTAGAGAATAATTAAAATTAACTTTAAGCCAATTATCTTCCATAAACCTGCTAAATAAAAGGCAACAAACCCCACAGTACTGGTTAAGATCCCCTATACCACCTTTAGATCTAGCCACATTGAGGTTTTCCAGAGTGGTGATTGTACCTCCTGGCCTATCTGCTAAAATTATCCACTGTAATCAAGTTTACCTTTCAAGTTCAATTCCATATAAGCAGTAGCAGCAGTGCTCTTCTGGGGGATGGACAAGGGTGGGGAGAGACCGATGCAAAAAGTTAAATGACAATCAGTGATACCATAGCAATTTTTTCTGAAAAAGTGCATTTACAATACTCATGGTAATATATCTTTAGCCTCTATAGTCTACTCAGTCATTTGTTTCAATGCTGACACATCATGCAAAAATCTTTCAGCTAATCTCAAGCAAAAGCTAAAGCATACATTTTGAAAACATACATCATCTGAGCAATTAAGGGCTCTGGCAAATAAGTTCTGTAAAATCTTTCTGGAAAGACTTATGGAGTCACTGGACCAACCACCTACCCACTCTCTCTTTGGGTATCGCCACCGCTTTTACAGGGACAACAGAAGTGGACACGCAGTGAGCCTTTCAAGTTATTCCCTTGCAAAAAGGCATGTTTTTGCTACTACAGCTGCTTCAGTTATTTACTTAATCTAAGAGCTGTAGCTGAGATTTTCCAGCCATTGTGTCCGATCCATACTGCGTAGCATATTGCATTGAAGGACGGAGAAGCACCCCTAAACACCACCTCGGAAACACTGGCTTAGCAATAATTCACTCCTTTTGCCTCACAGGCAAAAAGGGCTGAGGCCACAGTGTGATGATGAGATACTAGTGATACTATGTAAACTATCTGTATGGAACATTGACCCACTATGTGATAAGCTAAATTCAGTTGATAGGTCACAGCAGAATTGAACTCCAAATTTCTGAAATACAAATAACCATGTACACCTGGTTTCCAAGCCATCATTTCTTCATTCTACATATTCATATATACCAGTAAATGAAATCAATAATCCCTCCATCGACTTTTCTACATACAAATGAGGAACTGGTGTCTTTTGTTGTGATCCTTACCACCACCACCATTCTTGCCTTGCGGAAAAAAACACAGGTAAGAAATGGGAAAACTGCCAAGCATCACTGTCTGCTGAAATATAAACTGTGAAGCACACATCTGCAACCTGCAGTGCTACAGAAATTTACCCTATGGCATTCTGGAGAACATCTCCCCCAAAATGGCACCTCCTTCTAATGTGCTGCCTCTTCATACTCTCTCCTTCCCCCAAAACCCACATCTGTTTCCTACCAATAGCTGTTAACATACAACCTCTTGGTATCTTCTAACAGGAAACAGAAAGTGAGAGAAGTTCACTTTTATCAACATTGAAGACCCAGCCTGGGAGCCATTCTGAAACTTCTCTGAAGGGGTCTACTGTGAAAAGAGGGCGAGCAATCTTTGAAAAGATGTCATCAGAAAATGGCCACAGCAACAGCTCAGAAGGTTAGCATTACCGCTTTAATCTGATGTCTCACTTTACTCTAAGGCAGTCGTCTCCAAACCTTTTGATGGTCCACCCCTACTAGTAAAACACTTCTGAGCATGCACTCTCAGTATTTGTATATGTGTTTCTCTTCAAATTGTATACATGTACTACTCTACATTATGTACATTAGACCACATATGCACAAATACAAGTCTGATGAATGAAATAAAAAATATATACATTTTTCTTTAAAAAGGGTTTCTTTACAAAAAAACCATTTTCTTTCTGCACCCCAATGGACTGTCTTGCACAGCCCCAGTGGTGGCACATCCCACTCTGGACACCACTGGTGGTGTATATATCTGTGTATATATCTGTGTTTTGTTTTTTTTTTAACAGAGAAAGAACATGGGCGATGCAATTTTCTGACAGAAATTCACTTATTGAGTTCTGAGTGTCTAGGACTTAATGTAAAACAACAGATTACGCAAATAAATCACATAAAAAGACTTTTCCACTCTGCCAATAAAATTAATAATCCATCTACAGAGTATCAACTAGTTACTGACTCCACTCTTTTTTTGATCAGAAAATGTTTAGCCTGCATGTTTAGCAATTCCAGACTCTAGCAGATCAAGGAGAAAAGGAAAATTCCGTGTGCAAGACTGTTTCTAGCTAATGATGTTGGGTTTGGTTGAACAACGAGCATAATAAATACCTTATCCTTTATCAGTTTAAACTTTCAGCAATTAGCTATCTTTTTTCCTTTTCTTTCCTACCAAATTAAAGATATCTTTAACACCTACTCATTTTTTCTTGGGAGGATGATTACACATTATGATCATATCAGTCCATAACCTTCTCTTCCATCAACAAGATAGACCTGCAGTTCCCCATGTGGGAGTATTTTGTTGTGGATCTTCTCTACATCTCAGGTTTTATAGGTATCTTTTTTCATAATATGGTTCTAAGGGCCACTTTTTTATTCCTTCTCTTTCTAGTCTCTCCTAGTACAAAGTCTTTCCTTCTCCTCTCTAACAAGAGAACAGAATGCATACCTGCTTTGCCTCTGAGTCTAAATTGGGCACAGTATGTTTTAGAAGCATTTTTTGGTCCACCAGGAATAACAAAGAATATGAACTACGTAAAAATGCATAGTCAGCAATTAATGCCTCTAACAAAGGAAGCTTTTTCTAAAAATGTGACAGACCCATAGGGGATAGTGGTTTTCTCTGCTCCTGTGAGAGCCATAATATCCCATTTTGCATTCAGACAGTCTTGTGAGAAGTAAATTCCCTATAGACTCATTTGAGTGTTTGAAAGCACTGGTGAAAACTCTTAAACTTCTAATAGCTGAAGTTAGGCACTGAAATCTGCAACTCTGCACTTGAATAAATATTCAGGTCCTGAAAAATACAAGATAATGCTGATCCATAGATTATTTCTCCTATCACTATGATGTTTGAGTTTTCTATAACCCATGATGATATATATGTCAACTTGCTTCAACTTTTCAGCAACAGCAATACCCTCGAACCACTAAAGAGGTATGGAACTTTTTGCTAGACATTCCAATTAAGGCAAAACCCTATTTTCCTAGAAAAGGTATCGAGCAACATTTACAGCAAGCTCTATGAGTAAGTACCAACAACTTCTATTGTCTCCACTGAAAAACAATAAAGGCAATACTCATACTGCTTTTCATCGTGACAACCTGGAGAAGCCCAAAAGTGGTAGCTAATGTAGTCATACCATTAGAAAAAAAGACAGAAAGCCAGAATTCTCCAGTCCTATTATGCACAGAAGATTTGCCAAGCTCCGTTTACTTTACAGAATTGACGTAACTTATCAGTAATTAAAGAATAAATTCTCTAAAAAAGATGCTATTGTATGAGTCCCATATGACAAAAGCAAAGAGCTTTCTGTTGGCATACCTCACTTTGGTAAATGTAACATGCTTCTTGCAAACTATTTCATCACAAGCCCACCTTTATCCCTGACAGAATCAGAAGATATTACACCTTTAAGTTCTCTTAAGCAAAATGAACAAAATGAATGAGCAAAAGCTGAGATCACATAATCTCTTGCACGACCACGAAGAGTTTCACATCATGTTATAAAAAACCTAGCTTCTAAAGAGAGGGCATTTCCTGTTTTAAAGCTAACAAGAGAATAGTTTCTATTACCTTCACTCCCAGCTGGCTAATCATATGTATCTATTAAAATGTTTTTTAAAACAGTCCATTAAATTAATTGGCCCCAAATCAGCAAGGAATTTAATCACATGTCTAACTTTAAGCTCATGAGTATTCCCAGTGCGCTTAATGAAACTATTCACATGCTTACGATTAGGTAGAATCCAAGAATGCCTTGTTGAATCACAAGATTACCAAGGAAGTTTTTAAACTCCCAAACATTCCTGAAAATTAAAGCAATGCTTCATAAATATCATGCTGGTAGTAGTCTGTTACATAATTCAATCTGTCTTTAAAAATTAACTGACACTGTTTGGCTATAGCAGACTATCCCTCAGGGTTGCCGAACCATACTTTCAACTTTTCCTTTGTTTTGATTATATTTGGGTTAATGTACACACTTCTTACTTTAAGAACAGAAATTTTCTCCCTCTTTTGATTTCTACTTTCTCTGAAAACATTTTTTTTCCTTCCAGCTGTCTTTCACTGGTTCTTACTGCTGCTATTATTCTTTCTCTAAATGTAGCAATTCTTTTGTCTATCATGATTACATGAAATATGCAAGTGTACTGCATGGGATATGCATAATAAAAAAGAAAATTATCCTCATCTAAGTTATGAGTAAGGTCAGGTAAAAATACTAAGAAATCCAGTATGTTTACACTGACACCACTCTTCCCTGCATGTCTGTGTCTACGTCTGATTTTTACTGAAGATTACAGTTGCTTGTTATATTTGCTTGCTATCTCCGGACCTTGTCACTCGTGCCAGCTAAGCTTTTTTACAGTGAAAAGACAGAAAGGCCAGATGTGCCTTAGCATTATTACCCGTTTGGTGGGACATCGCTCCCCTGGCACTCTGTTCTGTATCTGTTCAGGCAGCTTTTTGGAAAGTCTGTCTTGTTGCTGCATTTCATAAGGTTAAAGAGTGGGTACTTCAAAAAGAAAAGGGGAAAATTTTTTCTGCATCTTTTGTGTTCTCAGCCACTGCCTTAGTAAAATGAAACAGTAATCAGAAGTGAACCAATTCAGGTAAGAAGAACTGTGATTGACTGAGCACATGTTTTTGTAATTCATTCATGTATGACCATGTATTACAGTTAGGCTTCCAGAACAATGAGCTGACTGGCAAATGCTATCCAGACCTCAGGCCCCAAGAAGAGTCACCAAATTACATCTTATATAAAAAGGGATAAACCAAAATCACTTCTGTCCCTCTACTTGCTCCAGAAAGGGATTTAGTGGAGCTGGTCTCCACTGGGTGTGTATTTCAGGAGACTGGTTAATTTGTCTTAAAAATTGAAAAAAATAAATGCCTAGGAGAGGATTTTGACAGCTTTTTTCTCTTTCTGAAGAGAAGAATAGTTCTGTAAATGGTGTTGCTTTGCACTGAATGGTAGAAAAGCTAAGTGTACTCCAGTATGCCCTTAGTGTTTTATACACACATTATGAGATAGCCGACACTGTACAAAGAAAACTTTCTCATTTCTAAGAAAAATTATGGCAAATAAGTTGATTTGCTTAATTTAGTAAGCTTGTAAATCATCAGCAAGATGAAAAAAGCATAAATTAATTGTACACAGTAAAAATGTTATTTAAAAAAAAACCAACAGTCCAGTGCTGTGAAGTGACAAAGCACACCCAGAATGCGGAAGACAGGGTGTCAGCAGCCCCAGAATATGTAAGGATACAAAGGAACTCTCAATGGCTAGCAGAAAGCCATTGACATCTGAAGCTTCCTCTTTGACCTTCCTTTCCTGTTTGGAAATAGATTTTAAGGTTTTAGTTTGGATACCTACTGGCTTGAATTACACAGAACAGGAGGACGTATCTACACTGTTTCTTCTTGCCCCCTTCTCTCCTTTGTCTAAGTCAGTAATTTCCACAACTTGAAGAAATTCCAAGATCTATCGTTCTTGGGAGGGTGCTAGGGTGGAGGTTTGAGATAATCAGTTCAGACACAGGTTGTTTCTGTAATTTCAGAAAACACAACTGTTTAAAAAAAAAGCAATGCAGGTTGCAACAAATTCATTCTGTCCTATTATGCAAGGACAAGGAGGAATATAGATGGATTTAGAGAAGATCAGGGTGCTCCGGTATCTGCTGCACAAGCACAGGGATTAAAAAAATTAGATTCTGGTGGCTTTACTAAAAATATATCTTCTTGAATTCTTAAAATTCCCTCCCCTCCCAAAAAGGAAGGGAGTATCCTGGTTACAGAAATCCAGTGTCATTCAACCCAATTGTAGAAAAACCTTGGCAGGTCAAGAGGAACTTCCAGCCTGTAGGATTATATGAATCCTCTTCTGCCTCTGATCAGAGATAGACTCTCACAACATACTTTTCCCCCTTGATTTGAAACAAGAAAGAAAAATATCTTTACACTAAATTTAAGGCACTTTTCTGGATATGTGGAATTCTTCTAATACAGTCATATGAATGTAGAAATCCGCAACAAAAAACATCCTAGTGCTAGTAACTCAGTGCTGCTTATTCAGCTCTACTCTGAACTGTTGCCTCCACATTCACTGTGGTGGAATTGCAGATGTTTATAGATAAGCCTATAACCTTCACACCTTAAAATAAGGTTAAAATGTAGCTAGTAATTTTGATAATTTTTAATGAGGTTTTAGTAGTGCTAAACCAACTAAAACATACTCTAATGCAGTATCAGTAAACACCTGAAATCTACAATCAACTCTGAACAGGCTCTGTAAGCAAATGAATACTGTAATGTATAAAGCTAATTAGAACATATCTAATTATAATTGGTTATTTGTAGTACTTACAATGACTTTTACAGTATAAAATAATGCAAATGTAACAATATCAAGAAAAAATATACTATGATACTATTAAAATTGTATGTTTGGGTTTTTTTAAAAAAAAGTTTTTTGTTATTTCCCCAAGGAATTTCCCCTGGTTTCAAAAACTTAATTGAATTATATTTTTCTGTACTCAATAAGCTGTAAACTGAAAATAAGATACAGCTGCTAAAATGTGGATAATATTGTCCTTTTCTACTGCTTTTCTTTCAAGTTTTGGAAAAAAGGTACCTGTTTCCTTCTTGGAAAATATGACGTCTGTTTTACTTACAGTGGGTTCTCGCAAACCTGTAAGAGGACAACCTAAAGACAGCGCTCCCAGGGCTGATAACACACCGCTGGATTTCCAGGAGACTGTCTCCTTGAAAGAAAGAATGGCTATGTACAAGGCTGCTGTGTCTGAGATAGACAGTAGCAACTCCTTTGCTCATGTAAGATATCAATTGTTCCTTATCTTACTTCTGTGTTTGCTTTGCAAAACATTCTTTATTTATACAAGCTAGCTGTTGGACCACTATGGGGATCAAAATTTGAAAACTAAATTACAAACAGACTTAGCAAACATATTGATGCATCAGTCTCTGCCTCCACTGAATGAGATTTTTCATGCTATATACCTTTGGTCCTTTGGACAATTCCCTTTAATTCATTGGAAGGATTGTTCTTTTTATTCCACTGTTGCATGAACTACACCTATTAGGACCGTAGGCTTGAGACAGATTAGCAACACAGTTACTCTTTCAGCTCATAATGACAAAACCCAGCAGTTTCTACATTACTAAAAATATTGGCAAATAATAAAATCATATTCAAAAACACATTAAGTTTAGACCCCTTGCTGTTCAAAATAAAGAATTTGAAATTGCTGCATTTTAAAATAGCAGCTCAATGAGATCAGGTGTATGAAAAAGTACTGTTTTATAATAAAATTATTTTTAAATGGGCATTATATGAAAAATATTTGAACATGAACTTTTGTTTATTTTACTCATCTCTCTACAGGTCTATCAATAAGGATTAGGTATTTTACAGCAAAGTTTAATATTAATACTAAGTAGCACATAAAGTAGTTGGCAAACAGAGTTTATAACCTGTTAAAATAGAGCAAGACCACTACACCACACATTTAATTATCAGTCAGGAATATCTGAAGATCGGGTCTTTAGATCTCAGCCAGGAAAATCTGATTATGTAGAAATATTAAGGGTTAAGAATTGCATGTTTACTGTATTTTTAAATCCTACCTAGATTTTAGATGTTGTAGCTCAATGCCCTTGTATCAGGAAAAGGAGGCATTATGCTGGCTTGCTACAATGTTAGTAGAATGGTCGTTGTTTACACGAAGCTTTCAGCACATGGGAAGAAAACCTTCTTCCATGGGGGAGTGGGGAGGGAAGTCTATGTTTATGATTTGCTTATTTACTCATCACCTGTAAGCACTGAACCTAAGTTGACTTAGTAACCTTAATTACAAGGCTATTTCTAATTATGATGTTTATTTTGTGCATACTGACTAAGAAGCCCAAATGCAGAAAGTTTTGTTCTAGTACCATCTAAGAGGTAACACACAAGGGACAGACCTAGAACAGGGAGCCTGAGGGTAAGGGCACTCTTGTGAACTTCAGCGCTGTTGTTAGTGAAGAAAGATGATCTAACAAAGGCCTGCTTAAAGCCCTCTGCATGTTTGTCAACAATACCTGTTGAAAAATACAGAGAGGGCAAGGTGGCAACTGAATGCAACAGAACTTGGGACAGACAAGTAGAAGAGGGAAGAGCAGAGAAGGGATGTTTTGGAAAGTGATTACTACTGATAGTGAAGTAGATCAGACGTACTTCTTTTGGTGCTAACAAACATACACACTTTTCAAATATACATTGACCTTTAGTTCTCCAAATCACAATGTAGGGCTCCTCCGCAGTGGTCTATGAGCTTGCTGGAAACAGCATGTATGACTGTCTGAGTTATTCTTGCAAGGACAGAGTAGTACATGGCTGAGAATGCATGGCTGATCCCTAAAACTATAGAGGAAAACACTGAGTCCGTAGTTTAGGCAGAGATGAATATGCAGGTACACCAGCAGGATTTATTTCACATAGCAGCATTTAGCAACTAGTGTTACATAAATTCCAGAATGCAAAATTCCAGAAGAACTGATTTTCAGTTGACAAGTCCTAAAATGGGCCAATGAGATTCAACAGTTAATTTTAACAGTACATACATGTTTTGTATTTTGATGACAACACCTGAAAAATAACTGGCTTATTACTGTATCTACTTGAATGCTAACGTTAATTCACGTGTTTAGTTAAAATAAGTGGGGTTTACAGATTACATCAGTGGAAGTTACCTGTAAGATTCCACAGTCACCACCAGTGGTTCCAACTTTTCCATTTGAAATTTAAAGGTATTCTAGCATACTGTTAAGTAATTTAAAGAAAAATAGCTTGTAGAAGAACATTCTCAGTGCAAATGGAAAAAAATGGCCTTATTTTATCACTCTAGACTTCAGAGAAAACCAAGTTCTGTACTGTGGCTGGTGGCCTGGCAGCAGTAAGGAAACAATTTGAGAAAGTGGCATCTTCACAAAAGAACTTTGCTCAGTACCAGCACAAATCCATACAGGTAACAATATTTTAACACCAACCAATGGGGTATATCCTGCCTGATAGCTTGAAGAAAAAATATGATTGTTTTACTGAAGAGTTTTCATTATGACTAAGAGATTTCGGTAATGTTCATGCTCATAGAATTTTCTCTTTGAGATATATTACAGGAATCATGTATTCTTTTACGTAGACTCAACAAAGGCAGTACTAGGCTTACAGCAAATAGATAAGTAAAGCAGATTACTACCATAGCAGTATTTTATACTGAACATTGTCTATTAGACTGTAATTCATTATCAAGTATTACGGTGATATTTTACATATATTGCACTTGATGTGATGTTAAGCCATTTTCTTTCAAAAGGATTTTCCTGCTTCCATTGAATTAAATCTAATCAACTCCCCTAAACAGATCAGAAATTGCACAGAAGAACCCAGATGCTACATAAAAGTAAAACAAAGCAGCAGCTAAGTGTTATTTTAGATAAAAGATCTTTACATTTCATTACTTCATTAGCATATACCATGATAAATTGTTGGAGATAATGATTTTGGACTATGTGAAATCCCCTATAATAAAACTCACTGCACAATCTGTCCTGTGCGTGCTGAAAAACAGTAATGGCACAGTAAATTGTTTTACCATTCTGCACTTCTTGGACAGATTTCTAAGCAATATTACTCTCCAACTTTGTAGAACAGGACACATCAACATTCTGCTGCCACAGGTTCATTTCCATGTTAAGTAAGTATCATCATATCTACCAGTCATCTCTCATTTCTTACACATTAATACAAATAACAATTTGCACAGACAACAAGCAAAACTCCAGTTTGATTTTCTTTTTATCCCCTATGTACCTATAGAAGCCTTTCTTGTTATCCTTGATGTACCTGGCCATGTTTACTTCTGTCAGGGCTCTAGCTTTCCTAACCTGATCCCTGACTTCTCAGATAACTTCCCTGTAATCCCCCCAGGCTACCTGTCCCTGCTTCCACCCACTGTAGGCTTCTTTTTTGTGCCTCAGTTTGTCCAGGAGCTGCTTGTTCATCCACACAGGCCTCCTGGCGTTTTTACCCGACTTCCTCTTCATTGGGATGCATCACTCCCGAGCTTGGTGGAGAAAATCCTTGAATACTCGCCAGCTTTCTTGGGTTCCTCTTCCCTCCAGGGCTTCATCCCATGGAACTCTGCCAATTACTTCCCTGAAAAGGCCAAAATCTGCTCTCCTGATGTCCAGGGTAGCAAGTCTGCTGCACACTCTCCTCGCCTCCTTAAGGATCTCAAACTTCCCTGGTTGCTGCAGCCAAGGCTGCCACTGAACATCACATACCCCACCAGCCCCTCCCTGTTGGTAAGGTCCTGCATGGCTCCCCTCCTCATCAGATCCTCAATCACCTAGATTATACTGGATTATAATCCTTGGTAATAGGAAGTGTTATGCACATTTTTGATTATGTGGTCCAATCTAGCTGCCATTTATCTGGATGGATGAAGAAATGCAGAACTATGTACAGAAACTATGTGACTTTTTCTCTTACTCAGAACCACATAATTTAATTCCTGTGATGTGAAGATGCATCTTCCATGGCCTAATAGTGACATCTAGTTCTCCACGAAGCCACAGTGATGGTTCCATTTCTTCAACAAACATGTGACTTCTAAGCATACTTATCCATGTATTTGTCCTCTGGCTAGTTGAGGAAGCTCTCTTAAATCATCAGCAGAAATAGTCACATTCACAGGAAATAAAACCACTGAAACTATATGGAACAATCTTTAAATTTAAGTTAAATAAGATTTCTAACATAACTGCATTCTTACGGAAAATGGGATTATATACTTAGATAGTTGAAAGATTATTCAAGGTCATTGAGTCAACCCAGGGGCAAAAAAGAGAAATCATGTAGCTGAAGACAGATCTCCAGATCTGGATAAATTCAAATTATTAATCCAAGCTAAAATAGGAAGTAATTCCTTTTTTAAACAATAATGTAAATAGCTGAACGTTTTACTACATATTTAATTATTGCATAAGGAGTGCATGGACTTTCATTCAAAATACTGACACCAAATATGCAAATAATAACTATTTATCTTTCTGTTTTTCTCAGGCAGAAGCCACCACTCATAGCTCATTTCATTGTAAGGGAGACTGGTTCCTTGAGAAAGGTGCTGTATTACCAGTAAGATGCACTAAACTCTTGTCCAGAATTACGAGCAGCAACAAAAATTGATCACAGATCAATTGTGTGCCATGTGCTCACAAACTCAGCCACAGTTTGTTTAGAGACCTGGTCTTTGATTTGACCACTGGCATCATGAGCACCTTTTATCATCAGCTCCAACAAAGTCTCACTGTACAGTGTCAGACACAAGCCATTTCTGGCAAGTGAGCTGAACCTCAAATATATTGAGTCGAATATATTGAAAGCATCTAATATTCACTCAACCATACAGTATTGTATGTCAGGAATGGCACAGGTATAGCTACACCTCCTTCAATGAGGGTCATCCAGACAAATTTTCTAAGATTGATACTGTAGCAACTGCCAATCTTTGAGTGATTGCAGAGGATAAGATTGAATAACAGGACAGTGTTAGTGAATGCTGAAATCACTACCTTGTAATTAAAATCTTCCATATAGTGGAACACCCTAAGTTTATACATACAACTAAGCAAGGCTGACAAATCATAGAGATGAAGTGCAGATAAGTGAGGTTCTTAGAATATCTGCAAGACTCTCATAGTACTGATAGGCAGATGATACCACAATAAGAACATTAATAGGCAAAAAAGCACAGCTTTGTGCAAAAAATGAAGATCCACAACAAGTAAATCATCACTCAGTCATTCTATTATTACTAATTTTGTAACTGAAACTTTAGGCGCACAATTTACTTACACAGCTGCCGAAAGAGAACTGCAAGTTTGTACATACTGATCATTTAGAACAATAAGCTCTAAATATTCCAGTAGATAAATGATATTATATTATCCAGCTTCCTACAGAGCTTGTATGATGACCATAATGTACAACTAAAAGCAATATGTTTCAAATGTGAACGAGTAAAAGGTTTTCTTACACTTGGACAAGCTTTTGGGCCATTTGATCCCCTTGACCAATACATACCTACATACCTAAAATTGTATACATGTTTTATGTACATATGCATATAGCATAGCATACATATTCTGAGCCTTGAAACAATTTTATTCTTGAAAGGGAAAGTATGTTTTATCTGTTGTCAGAACAGAAGGAAACTGCAAAATGTCAACACAAAAAAGCAAATCTTGGTCTACATACACAGAAGAGTTATTGAAAATTCAGATCTTGGCATGTTTTGCAATAAAGAATTCTATCTAAATTATTGCAGCGCAGAGGCACTAAAATTGATATATGGGACACTAACATATAAAGTGCATGTAGCAATTACAGTTCTTTTAAGTAATAGAAACTGAATGCCAATATAAAAATGCACTCCTCCAGCAGAACTTATACAGACATATTCTCAGATTTACATCTTTATTTTTTAAATAGTACTGGTTTAGGTTAGAATTACTTATTATCCAGGGACACAACAGGACACTACGGCCCGCTGTATTAAGTACCATACAGATACGCATGGGAAAGCCAGGAGCCACCGTAAGGCCTGACATGAAACAAACAGAAGAGAATGGAGAGCAACAAAAATCTGAAATAAAAATAAAAGGACCATAAGAGAACATTTGTGAGCTAGCAGAATGCCAACTACCATCCAGCTGACAGTGTTTTCTGAAGCTCACTCATGATATGGCATAGAATAAACAAAAAGTAATTGAAAGATGATTCTTGGGCCGCAGGAAAGGCAACTGTAACAGTTGACTTTTCACTCCTGCCACCAAAAATGACTGAGTTCTCTGTCTGTCCTCCTCCCATGCACAGCTGGAGGGGAGCTGTTCCCTCCTGACACCATGATGCAGGATCGGGTCGATGAAATAACCTTGCTTGATTTAATAACAGACGGTATGACAGGTATTTTGTATTCCACAGAAACAAAGGGATTGAATTCCCACAAGCATAACTCTTAACTAGTATTAAATCTAGATCATAATCTTCAGCCACAGCCCTGCATTGGAGGCACGACTTACCCTGCCTAATAAGACAGAAGTAATCTTATCCCATGCAAACCATCAAATAATTCTATGGAATATTCTCCAAAATCCATGTGGTCTACAAAACCTACAAACTCTCGTTGGATAGACTAAATTAATCCTACCTACAGGACATCCTATCCTATATTCGACAGCTGGCCATTACAGAGGAGGGACGAAATCACAGGTCTTCCCGCTCTCCAATTCTTTGGAATAATAAACAAGCAGCGTTTTACCCTCTGTCACTGGAATTTTAATTAGCTGTCTTGACAGACACACAAAACACGAGAACCTCCAAGTCCTTCTTCCTCCCTGCATGCCCAGAGCAAGGCCATGTAATTATATTGTCAAACTCTGTCCCATAATGTTTAGGCTGCATTTTAGACAACCATAGCTGTCCCATTAAATGATTATAATGTTTTGCAACATGGCAGCTACTTCATAAGCAATACCAAAGTTACAGCAATAAAGCAGTAGTGACACTGAGATTAGATTTGCTTCCTGACTACATTAAACCTAATTATATTCCTTTGTAATACCCCACATCATTCAAAGGACACATAATGACTATCATGAACATATTTCATGTCTCATGAATGAGCTTTTCCAGTAATGAGAGCTTGACATACATATCTAAAACACGCACATTAGAACAGAAAAAACATATCTTAAATGAAAAAAAAGAAGAATATATATGCATAAATATACTGAAAAGCATATCCATATGGAATGAAAAGGCATGTTACACATACACCTACACATAGTCATCAAGCAGAGAATAGATGGAAAAATTTACATTCCATTTTCTTTGAACTGACTCTTTTCAGCTTAGTAAAGGGTTAGCTTTACGTCTCCTTGTGTTGTGTGGCTCCCTCACAACTGTTACAGATATAGAACTGGCAATTGTAAACCATGCTGTGACTTGTTCTCCTCAAGCCTCACCTCACTTTGACGGTTCAAACTTTGCAGTAGATAGTATTAATTTTGATACTGGTAATGCACTAAAGCATTTATTGGGCCAGTAACCAGAAAATTTATTCTACCTATGCATGTTCATATGATTTTAATTCATCTTCCAGTTGAAACATGTATTTTAGCAACACAGAGGGGGAAGAGAGTTCCTAAAGCCCACAAAAGGGATGCACATTGTTTCTCTGCATAGAACCTATGAGCCCCTGCTGCCTACTGTGTGCCAGAAATTATGGGTCAGGCAGTGGATGCTCCCCTATATTGATTCAGCAGAAATGTTAGTGGAGACACAAGCAGTGTATGCATTCCTTAGTTTGAAGGTGGAATAAATCCCATAAATATATGCTTCGTCATGCGATGACTAAGGGAGAGAGCTAATTTCTTGCCTCACAATTAGCTGGATTTCAAGGAGGTGCCAGGATTTGAGATGTAGGAAGGTTACAGCTCTCTATTGCACTAGATGTACAGCAGCAATCTCAGAAACACAGTGCTGCCTATATTCACATTACACTGAACATTTCAGAAGCTCTTGCTGGAGAAACCAGAAGCTCCTTTCATTTGAAAGCTTATTATCAGTAGAAACTAATAGGCAAGCTCCTTCTCACAAAGGAAGAAGAAAATTTAATTTGACATAAGTGAAATTATTTGTTAGATGTCTTTGTGTGTGTGCTACTGTGCAAGACAGAGGAAGAAAGGTACTGATATCTTAATAATATCAATCCTTGGGATTTATTTCTTCCAATCACTATATCTTGAAGTACTCCACTGACATGTAATGTGACGTAACACAGGTTCTGTGACAGTCTTTAAATAAGAAAATAAATCACTTCCAGAATCTGGAGTTAAACTAAACATAGATAACCTCAGAAATTAGCTTACATGGACATCTTGGACAGTGTTTTAAACTGTCAACAGTATGCCCTGTTTAGTTGTCAGACTTGGAGATACAATGCTAGCCTGTGTACTTCTTAGGATCTTCTGGCTAGCCTATGGGTCATATTTTTTACAACTACAATTCAGCATGATTTTTGCATCAGAAGAGCTGTATAAAACATATGCAGGAAGTCAGCATCTCTTGTACAGGCACATCATGATACTTCCTTTTACAAACTTACAATTGCTTCGCCTGCTGATAGGTAACAAATTGATAGCACAGCACATAAAGCCAGAACCAGTCTTCCAAGTCACCTTCATCCCCTTCCAGTCAAATTAAACATTGTACATATTCATGCAGCTTTCCATATCTGCTGGTCAAAATCTGGCTGCAGTAACAGAAATTACTTGACATCTTCTGTGTTACATAAAAGCCTGTTCCAATTTTTATGACAACAAATATCAATCATAATAACAACGGTACTCTGCTGTAAAATGACTGTTCTAGTTGCACCACTTACATTAGAATGTATTTGTGAAAGCTCTTCACAAAAAAAAAAAAAATAATCCAATTTGCTATTAGCTGTTAATGTGCGATTAGTTTTATTTGCCTTTAGGAAACACCAAGTAGCAGTCAGCACACAGTATCAAGCGGCACCAGGGAAGCTCAGTGCAATGAAACGACCTCCGAAGAAAGTCAAATAGAAGAGGTAACGATATCAATTAATAATTATGTCATTGGACAATTATACTGACATTGATACATATCTGCTCTGCTTCTTCCTCCTCTACCACTCGGTACAGCAAGATCTGAATGTTCCGCTGATAGTCTCCCTCATTAGGCAGCACATAATAGTTTTTTAAGGTGTTTTAGTAAATTTTTTTAATTTATTATTGCTTTAATATGGTAATTAATTAGGTTTCCATTCATATTCTTGTTTGATGTAACATTTTAAATGTAGTTGCAGAAGTATCAGAAATTCTTGCCTATTGCAGTGAATCCTGTAGTAAAGTGAAGGTTTTGTGCACAGGTTTCTTGTCGTGACCAAGTTACTCATGAGATAAAAAAGGCTTCTACATTCATCCAGCACACTGATGAAAGAGGTAAGAAGTGGCATGAAAATAAAGGTTCAGAAATGAGCAATGGCAAATGTCTTTACTCACATAAATGTATCACACTTGGCATGTAAACACGGAAATGTACATTGCTCCGAATTCTCAGCAGAGCACATTCATTGATTTCAACGGGACTTCAAGGAGTTTAGAATTCAGTATGGAGAGATGGCTTTTGCATTTTTGCTTTTTTGGTTTTAATTATGCACTCAGTTCCTTAAAAGAACTGGGGACTTGAAGAACTGTCTGAAAGCACAGGCAAACACAAGCCCATGTACATCCAACATTGTGAATGAGAAAGTTTCAATTTATAGCTGAACGGAATAGCCCTGCAGAATATGACCACAGAGTTAAGACACTGCTGCTGCTGCAGTTTAGTCCTGGTATAAGAATTCACACGTTATATACTCCTACAGACCCCAGTCAACCTTTAGCCTGGCCTCACCCGTCAGGTATGGTAAAGCAGTAGGTGATAACATGTCCCTCAATAAGTATTCTGTCGTTCTCCCTATGGATTTCTGTTCATGACCAAGTGACTCTCTAGACTTCCGCAAGGCTAAGTACAATATCCGTAATGTAATAATCTTTTATGATTCACTGACAAAGTCAATTTCATAAAATGCAGGGTGGAGGAAAACCAAACTTGTTTATTCTTCTTCCCATTGCAGCAATCAATGCAGCTCAGAACGAAGAGCTCCCAAAGACTGTGACAGAGATTTTAAAACAGCAGATTGAAAGGACAATTCAGGAGAAGGCTGTTCACTCTGACAGAGAGACTGCAGGACCTGCAAAAGAAGTAAAGGTCTGTGCTTTTAATAAGAGGGATGTATCTTTATGCAAAATAGAAATAGTGAAGTTAAGACATTGGTCCATCATGCAGTCTGAATTCCTATTTTGAGTAATCATGATTAAAAATTTAACCTATCAAAGTGGTGGGAATATATGAATTTTAGGAATTAACTGCACATAATGTAATATGAAGTATGTTAGAAGGCTCAGTAAGTAGTTCCAGTATGTGACAAACACAACTAAAAGTAGACTTTTAAAAAAAATACTTTGGCACTCCTGTCCTCCTCTGCTGAATTCAGTCTCCTCTTTCCTTGTTTTGAATCTGGAAATATGTATGATTTCTGTCACCACAGATTCTCAGAAGCATAGAAAATATCACTTTCAGTAGAAATTAAAATGAGCATAAGCCACAGCACAACTTTACATTACTATTACAATGCAAAGTCTGTATTTGTTGCAGCAAAAGCTCCAAGACCACTCAATCATCATTTCGCATGAATTCCACATTTCTTTTCACATATATTCTATGGTGCAAATAGCACAGCTCTTAGTTCACAAGATTGGTTTTATGCATTCTGAGCAATAGCTGACGGATTGTGTCTTTCCAGATATTATAATCCTATTGCTTGGATCCTTGCAGAACTAGCTTTAGTGAAGAATAGAAAAATTGCTTTCTGTGTTGCTATAGTTTAAAAAGAAAACCAACCACTTTTGTTCCATAAAGATGGAAAATACATTACAGGAAATTACATTGCCTTCAACAGTTAGTTCATCTTCCACTGCTACTACTTCAGCAAGCAGACTACAGGAAACTCCTACACCAAGGGAAAAACAGGAAGGAACTGCTACTTCTGCAATGATTTGCTCCAGATCCCATGAATATGGAAGCACAGAAAAGTTACAGCCAATTAAGAAAACGCTTGAGAAACTTTACCTGAATGAGACTTCTATCTGGTGAACCTGAAACAGGGAATATGATGTCAGATGTGCAGCAGGCTAGATATGGCTTTGCCTTCATCATTCAGATGTTCACAAGACCAGAAAAACATTGCTTCGAGTGGCATGAAATCCAGAGAGGAGAGGTTCTCTCTGTATATGGGTCTTCGAGAACCAGCCTTTCGTTCCAATTACAAATGAACCTCCAGACCCAGACAAAGCTATTTGCATTGCAGACCAGGAAACCATTGTAGGTGGAAATGCTGAATGCATAGCCTGGATGTTTCAGAATCAGTCTCTTGATGCTCTGTATGCAAATGCTCCGGGCTTTGTAGGAACTTGGACAAGGTTCTTGAGCTAGTTAGGGGAGGAGGTGTTTGCACAGCCACATGGATGTTTGAAAAGAACAAAAACCATGACATTCGCATCTGAGAAGTTTCTAGCAGCGCTGTAATAACTCTAAGGCACAGAACCTGAATAACTTGGTCAGCTCTACCAAGTAGGTGTCATTAACTTGGTGCAGCTCAGGTCTGACTTGAAGGAGATTAAAGGAAATGTGAAGAGAAGCATAAAGCATTTTGAATATCAGGTTTTGTCTGTTACCAGAGACAACTTTGGTCAAAGAATGGAGAATGAAGCTGTCCATAGAGAAGACAGTGAAAAGCGGCATGTCAGAAAGCACACTGGATGTTTGAAACACATCTTTTACCTGTGACCATCAAAGACCTGGTAGAAATTCAAGTCTTATGTGCAACCTCAGTGTAGGAAACATGAACGATGCTGTGCACAAGGCAAAACATTTGAAACAGAGCCTTTGCACACAGAGGATTCAGAGGAATTAAGTCCAGCTGAAACATCACCACCAAACATCAAACAAGCAAGATCAAGGTCCCGCACAAGATGCAGCAGCACCTGTAACACCACAGCAAAGCACACTTTCTGATTCTGAATTTGATGGCAATGATAAGCAAAGTGTACGAAAATACGATATAGGAATTCAAATAGATCGCCATGAAGACCAGGAGGTTGGGAAGCTTAAGACACAGGAACTGCTGTGAAAGCCTCTAGCTATTATCTCTTGCACCATTATGAGGATCAACACTATGACAGCTATCCTGAAGAATTATATAGAGCAAAATAAAAATCGATACTAAAATATATATATACTAAAATTAAAATATAATTACCGTTGTATTTGAGAAATATTAACATGCTAGAAAATGTGTACAGAATGCACTTGACTTCTCACGCTTAAAATTAATGCAGCATCCTCCTAACTGAGGTAAAAATGGCCTGTATAGAATAGCTCTACAGATAAAATAATGGTTATGCTTTGTGCACATCTGGTTTTAGTTTAGTAAAGCACAACATGTGCATTCGGTGGGATGTTTCAGTGGGTTTCCTGTTTGAGTAAAATTACTTAAACTGTTTACAGATTAGCAAGCAATTTTTAAAATTTTTCTGCTATTTCCTGCTGGGCAATTTTACCAGTTGATAACAGCCCTAGACTGCATTAAGGAAGCAAACCCATTTACCTGATGTCGAAGTCCAGGTTTCACATCACTAAGAAGCAGAGCCACTTAGTGCCCCTCAAAAAGCTGAGCCTGTTATTTGTTACATATTGAGGTAAACTTTAAACTCTGAATATATACATTAATATTTATATATGAATATGAAGTAAACATTGAAAATAAAACATGTCTTCTTTCTCAGGGTGCATGTGTTACTTAAAGATTATAGTAAAAGGGTATTTAGGTTGCAAAGTTATGCATTTGAAACTTCAAAAATATTACATCAATGTTCTCTTTTGGGTATCTGTTTTGGGCACTGAATATGGATGAATCCTGTAGGAAAATGAGATGTTACCATAGCTTTAGCCATCTGAAATACATGAATAGAACACTTATGCAGGAACAACAATGAAAACGGCAGAACAAAGCTAAATGCTCCTGTACCTACGTAACTCTTAAACAGAAAGCTCTGCTTCGGGTTTCCCAACTCTGTGCACTGAGAAAGGTGCTACCTCTGTTCATGCTAAGAGCGGAATTAAACACAAATAGCTTGTGATCCTGTAAAATGAGGGACAGTCTGGTGGTCTTCTATCAAAATACTTAATGTGGTGGGTCAGCCCTGGCCAGCAGCTATGTCTACACCCACTCACGTGCTCGCTCACTGCCCCACAGTGGGATGAGAGAAAGAATCAGATGAGCAACAAGGAGGAAAACCTGTGGGAGGAGTTAGAGACAGTTTAATAGATGAAACAAAGCTGGGATATGATCAAAGACAAATAAGGAATTGATTCACTTCTTCTCATCAGCAGACAGATATTTATCCACTTCCTGGAAATCAAGGCCTCGATATGCACAGGTTACTTGGGAAGACAAATGCCATAGCTCTGAATGTTCCCTCTTCCTCCTCCTTTCTCTCAGCTTTTACTGCTGAGCATGATGTCATATGGTATGAAATACCGCTCTGGCCAGTTGGGGTCTCTCAACTTCTTGTGCACCCCCACCCTATTTGCTTGGGGTGGGGACGGGTCGGAGTGGGAGGTAGAAAAGGCCTTGACACTGTGAAAGTACTGTTCAGCAATAGCTAAAACACCACTGTCTTATCAACACTTTAGCCACAAATCCAAAACATAGCACCATATGAGCGGCTATGACAATAATTAACTGCATCCCAGACATGGTACACAAGCATGTTAAGAGTAAAAATACCCAGTACCAGAAGAATACTGAATTCTCCATGTGGTCAAGCCTTTGGGTTTCATTTCACATCTCTTCTACATGGCATATATTCATGATCTCAAAGAGCAGACCAGCCTTTCCGCAACAGATTTTGTAGGACTGTTCACGTGAGGTGGGTTGACCTGACAGACCCTCACACTCCCACGCTTTCATTAGCCCTCTTCAACATGACAGGGAGAGAAAATAGGATTAAAAAGTTCATAGGACAAAATAAGGACAGAGAGATCAAATACCAGTTACTGTTACAGGCAAAAGAGACTTCAACTGGGGAAAAATATTTCATTTCTTGCCAACTAAAATAATTTAGATAATGAGAAACAAAGACTAAAACACCTGCCCTCTTGCCCTCTTTTTCCCAGGTTCAACTTTACTCCTTCAGTCCTGACTCTTCCACCTCCTCCCGCTGCCCCCAGCAGGACAGAGAGGATGGAAAATGGGGGGCTATGGTCTAGTCCATACCAGTTCCTCTCTGCTGCTCCCTCCTCCTCAGACTTTACCCCTGCTTCAGTGTGGGCTCTGCACAGGCCATAGCTCCTTCTGGGAATACCCATCTGCTCCAGTGTAGTGTCCACTACAAGCTGTAGTGTGGTATCTGCTCTGGTGTGGTCCTCTCTGTGGTCTGCAGAGAAATTCCTGCTCACCTGGTCTCCTTGGCAGGCTGCAGGGGAATGTCTGCTACAGTGCCTCCTTCCCCTCCTCCTTCTCTGACCTTGCTGTTTGCAGGGCTGTTTCTCACACTTTTTTCCTCAGTCCTCACAGACATTTGCGGTGTTTTGCCTCCTCAGGAACAGGTTTTCCCCCAGGCACCACCGTCTTGGCTGAGGGGCTCAGCCGTGCCCTGCGCTGGTGCTGGAGCCGTCTGGAAACGGCTGTGTCCAGGCAGGGGGCAGCCCTGGGCTCCCCGCACAGAGGTTGCCCTGCAGACCCCAGGTACCAAAACCTTGCCACTGACACTCAATACATGATTAATTTTCATGAAGATCAATCCTGGCTCCACGAGTCAGTCCTGGAAATTGCTTTGGGATAAGCTTCCCTTAAAGTCTCTCTTTCTCTTAGTTTTGCTCTTCTCTTGACTGCTGCCTTTTGAGGCACAAATCTCACTGTCCCACTAAACGTAGTGCGACCATCAAATGTAATGACCGAGGCAGTTTTCCAGGAGACATGTCACCTTTTATCCCCCCTCTCAGTTACCTTGCCCCTTTCCACATCACAAAGTTTGTGCCTTGCCTTTCCTCTCCTCCCTCTTTACATTCAGAACACCTGCGTACAGCGCCAAGCACAAGCAGCCCCTGCCTAGCGAGGCGGGAGGCATGTCCAGAACGCTGCCCGCCACACCTGCCCGGCCTCTGTCAGCCCGTTTGGAGACTAAGTTGAAGCTACATTTGAGGCTATTTCATAACCAACAATTGGGTTGGGATTTGTTTGGTTTTTTGTTCATTATTAATGGTGGTTAATTCTTGTTTCAAGTTCTACATCATTTTGAAGATACTTAATTTCTCTTTCAGCATTTTTCACAGCTCTCATTATGGGCACTCTAGTTATGCAGCAACTAAAGCCGTAGTTATAAAATCTACATCACTTCTGTCTTGATTTGTGAATTGCTGTAAAATCAATACCAGCAGATAAACAAAAAGCAGATGAAATGCTGAAAGGGGCCAAATTTTCTGCTGATATCAAGGAGCATTACTATTGTCAACTGAGACATATTTATACAAGCAATTAGTTGGTCCACCTTATTTCTTTGCTAGTACATTTTTCATGGCAATTCAGAAATCAAGACAGAAGAGCAACATGCATTTTTCCAAGCCCAGCAGAATGCCCATTATTTCCTTCTGCCCCTTACTGGTATGAAATAAACCTTCTATTCTCTTTACAGAGAACTAGTTTCCTTTATAATTAATTATACTTTGTAGAATAATAAAATTTATATAGTTAGCTAATATAATTGTAGTTAACTCAGTCTTAAAAATTAACTGAAGGAAGTATTGGGTCTAAAAATGAAAATTGTAAAAATAAATGTCTATAGCATAACCAGACTACATGAGTGTAAAATCCACAGGTTACCACAGAAGCAGAACTACTGGATGTGTTTTTGTCATGATTAAGCAAAACTTCCTCAACAGAATCTCAAACATCTGCCCCCTGTTTATTGATCTCTAAATCACATTGTAGAGTCAAACATTATATATACCACTTGGACTAGTAAACTTTTTATCATCCTATCTTATTTCACAAAATAAATAGTTATTATGAATAAATGGAAATATTGTACCTGGTGTAGTGAAAGGCATTTCAAATGCATGGATTTCTGAAAAAGGAAAGGTGAGTAGTTTTTCGTTTGTGAAGTATCACTGTTAGTTGAATAAAACTGAAGCCCTAAAATTGACAGCTGAGATACCAGTTAATGGATAAAAACCTACAGTTTTAACAAGACATATGGACTGATACAGTTAAAAATAAATCATAACATGTGGCTTAAACTAATAACTTTTAATATGTGTTTCTAGAAACTGCAGATTCAGGGAAACGAAACGTGCAGACTCTGTCAACAGAGAGTTTATGCAATGGAATGCCTAGTTGCTGACAAGAAGAATTTTCATAAATCGTGCTTCCGATGTCACCACTGTGGCAGTCAATTAAGGTAAGAAGTAACTGCATGTTCACACATTGAACTCTGCATTCAAATATAAATACAGACAGTGAAATTATTTTCAGCTAGGCTATTCAGCCTATGGGAAGCTGGGTTGACAGGAAAGGAACCTGGGTCCCCCGGCTCTGCTACTGACATCTGCACTGTGATGTAGAAAAAGTCCTTTAAGCTCTCTAAAGAACAGCTTCATCCCAGTACCTTCCAAGTTTTTCTGCATATCACTTCCTACTGGCTATCCCAGACCTTATAAACAGGAAGCGGTAAACACAGACCAAATTTTCTCTCACTTTTCCTCATCCATAAAATAAATGATGATGGTTCTCTGCATTACTCTTTTAAACTTTATCTATAATGCAGTATTCATTGCTCTATCAGACTGCAAAGGCTAACAGTTCTGATTTTAACATCTTTGAGGCTAGTTACATTTCCTTTACTTCATTTAGGAGCAGAATTCAAATATAATTAAACACTAATTTCTATAATTCACACAAAGGCTAGAGAATATTGGCACCGTATTTTCTCCACATATTTTGTAGAAAAATAGGGGCTTCAGTCTTGATTATGATGAGGAAAATGGTACCAAAAACCCTGAAGTGCTGTGGAACATTCCTATTTGAAGATTATGCAGTGCAACAACTGAAAAAGTTTATGTTCTTTCTTAAATGCCCAAGCATGACTCTTCTCCTTCATTTGAAATCGTATGGGAAATTGAAATTAAAGGTTTTTGATACGTGTGTATGTGTGTGTGTGCGCACAGTTAGAATTGGCCAATAGATTGAGTTTGCTTTCTTTTTGCTCTTTCTTTCTTTATATATACAGTCATGTAGGGTTACTTGAAATACCAAGTAAAGTGCAAAATTCACAATAGATTTATGATACGTAGAAGTATAAAACAAATTTTCTTCTATTTGGCAGATTGGGAAATTATGCATCTCTCCATGGAAAAATATACTGTAAACCCCATTTTAAGCAACTTTTCAAATCAAAAGGAAATTATGATGAAGGTTTTGGACACAAGCAGCATAAAGATTTATGGAATTCTAAAGATCAATGTAGCTCAGTTGGCAATATTCATACTGAAGAAACAATCCCCATTAATAGTACACCTGTTGATCCTAAACCAGTTACAGAAATTGATCAAGACTTGCACTCTGATACTGACGGTACTCATCCCGGTATTTTGGATAATAATTTGAAAAAATGCACAGAAAGAGGTAAATTAAAGATGACATGGCCGCCTTCAACAGATGATGCAACACCTAAGAAAACATTTTCTATTGAAGAAGTGGCTAAAGTAGATAAGCCAAAGTGGCCCCCAGAAAGTTTTGCTCAAGAAGGTTCTAGTTTACATACAAATAAACCCCTGTGTAGTGAAAAGGATCCTCAGAGAAAAAATGCTATGAGAGAGCATAATAAAAACGACACTGCAAATGAACAGCAAAATCAACACTCCGCCTTTAGCTGTGAGTATGAAAAAGAAGCTAAAAATATCTGTAAATCAAATAAAAATGACGCAGGCAATAAGGGAAAAGATGAGGAATCTGGGAACATGCAAAATATACTGAATAAAACAGAAGGATCACAGAACAGGGAGGAAAGCAGAAAGGATATTAATGAAGGTGATAATGTGATTGTGCATAGTGCTGGGAAGGAGCGAGAGCAAAAAATTAATGCAAGTGATGATTCAGAAGTTGTACAGGTCACTAACATTGATGATGTAACAGCACAAAGGAATAACAAAGAATTCAGCTTTAATAGCAATAACAATAACAATTATGCCACTTTTTCACATCTAGACATTTGTAGGCAGGAAACAACTCTCTCAGCTACGTCTAAGCCAATGACAGCATTAAGCCAAGCCCTGCAATTTGCCCTGTGTCGCAGCATGCCTTTGCAAAGCTGGAAAATCGGTCTGGAAATGAAGAAATATTTGAGATGTATGAATCTCAAGAGAGCTATTCTAGCGCTACTGTAACTGTTTCATGAGAAGAACAGAGCTCAGAATATGAAGATGCTGTTACCTCTAACAGTCTTGCTCAATTGATAAAGATGCCACTTGTCAGAAGTCCTGTACTCATAGAACATTAGTTTTAAAGGAGGCAACTAATGCAACATTCCCTGTTGATACTGAGTTGGCATGCATCAGAAAAGAATCAGAATATGGCAAAAAATTAAATACTATTTTATCTGACACTCTGAAAGCATCTTTTCTTAAAAAAGACAACCTGGTTTTAGACTGTGGTCTAGTAGACTCTGTAGACATAACTAAAAAGTCCCGCAGCCCCTATTCAAAAGAACATAGGAATTATGATACAGAAATGAATGGTATTAATGCCTGTCAAGAAAGTGAAATAATCAAAGTGTCAAAGAATGACATAAACACAAGCTTAGATTTACTGAGCTCAAGACATACAGCTGTTTCATCATTCCAAGGTGACAAAGTGAAGCTCAAACAGCTCACTGTAGAACAAATTAAAAGAAACAGATTCTATGAAGAAAATGAATAATACAGCTAAGTGATCAGCTATGAGCTCTGTCTCTCACTCATTATAAAGCATGTTGTAAATAGATATTTCTTCAGTCCAGTTATTTTATATTCCTTGAAGAATTTAATATCCAGAGATTACATATGAAAGGTTGTGTTATATACTGTCAATTACTCAGACTTTATTTACTTAGTCTATGTTTAAGGCAATGAAGATGCATAAAATAGGTTATTTTCAGTCTGTAATTAAAACAACTTGGCTATGTTCTCGAACATTGCAAGAAATATTTTACTACATCACTGTCCTGCAGAAACAGAATAATTCCATTTTGCAGTTTATCATTTGTAACAAATTAAGATGTGAAGCACCCGGTGTGCATAAAACAAGAAAAAGTATTACTATAGCTTTTTTCTAATGTATTGTTATTACTGTAACTGAGCTGTTGCTACATGACATATCATGTACATTTGTTGTATTAGCTCATACTAGAAGATGTAGGGTATGGTTGGGTTTTTTTGTTGGCGTTTGGTTTTTTTTTTTAATATCATGCAGTATTTAGTTTGAAACGGATTCATTACTGAATAGTGACCACAACTAGTTGATAAATAGTACCATTGTACTATATTCCTAGAGCTGCTACTATGGCATTATATTGCATGACAGAAAAAAAAAAAAAAAAAGTGTGTAAATGTTAACACAGGGTAAAAAAAAAACCATCTTGGGCAGAACTGGAAAAAGGCTTGGGCACAACTAGACTAGTGGTTCTTTCAGTAACTAGTTTACAGTCCTCTTAACTGAAGCAGCTCTCCAGTTTCGTATCTAAACCTGTACAGACTTACGCAGATTTAGTACTTTTTTCCTTAACATGTTTATGGATTAACAATTACTCTCTTAAGACTATTCCAGCTTGCATGAAACAGCAACATATCATTTAATTGTTGACAATGTATAATAAAAAATAACTTTACAAAAAAGTATTTTGATACCTTTTTTAGTATGAATTTATAGATATAATCTTCCATAGAGTTTGTGAAATTCTTCATGTGATAATTCAAACTAAACTGTTTGTCAGTGAAAGTGAAGAACATTAGAAATACAATCTTCAGAACAATTTCTGAAGTATCTGACAGAGACAGGTGTTTGGAATAATTTACAGAAAAGATAGGTTGATGTTAAAACATTTAAGAAATTATTGTGCACAGTTCTAGAAGAAAATATCTGCTACACTACAACTCATTGCCCAAAGGAATGGGATTGTGGGTAAGTGGGATATCCACATCTAACTCTTCTATACCTACACAAAAACAACTATGAAGTATACACATGAGAGAAGCTATGTATAGTATTCCTTTCACAAGAATGTTTCAAGAGAGTGAAGCCTCCTCTTTGCGCATCATGCTTTACTCCTCCAAAGTATTCTCGTGAAATGCAGAAATATAGAAAAGACCGCTTAAAAAGAGTGTTCCCAGAAGAATAATCAGCCTTCATGCAAGGCACTCAGATAACACTGTTTTTGATAACTTTGTTTAAAAGCATTAGCCTGCAGGCTGTTATGAACACTTAAAAATTATTTTGGCAAGATCTCTCTCTTATTCCTTCCCCTCCCACATGTGGTTGTAACCAAGATAAATTATTTTTAAAACCCCAAGAGATTACTAAACAGATCTAAATAACTTTCTTTGCTTTTTTGAATAGATAACACAACTAAAAATAACATCAACAGAATTCCTGGTAAGACAACAAAAAAATAATCTCCGAAAATGCAAGCCTGAAGAAAAGCAATGGAATTTCCCTAAAATATTTAGAGTTCTACATGGCCTAAACTTTCAAAGGTCCCTCATTCCCCAAAATTACTTATTATGTATAAGATCAGTTTTGACTGTATTAGTTAGGAATGAGGAATGATCTTAAGGGTGGAAAGGTGGGTGTTTGTTTATGCACACACATAGGTGTGATCATATGCAGGTCAATAATTCAAGTGAAAAGCTAATACAATTGCAATATTTGCCCTTGAAGTAAAGTCCTGTGCGGATCGTCATCCTCCTGCATATTCTTATGACTTTAAACTTGTAAATTCCAATTTAGAGGAGTGACCGATATCAATTATGATAATAAAAACTCATTTACACCAAGAAATTAATGCATCTGGAAATATCCTTACAAAATACAGACCTTTTTGCTCTCCGTAAACAAAACAAAAAACACCACCAAAAATGAGTCACAGGAAAAAAAGAAGTGTTCCCTTTGGCCAGCTAGAGATGACTGAAATACAGGATGCGACGAAACAGTAGAAAAAGGCAGTATTATGGGGAAAATTGTATTCCCAGAGGAAATTATATGTAAAGTGAAGATGCCAAATGACATACCGTCCGGGGAAAATCTCCTTGGATATTCCATGATCGGGATTGTGCTTTGCATGGGACACACACAGAAGTGCAGAGCCTTCCTCTAGTGGATTCACTAGCTTTGCACTTTCCTCCCTCAGTGGGTGGCTTTTTTTCTTCTTCCAGTAGTGAGGATGAATGTTAAGGATTAAATTATACTGCATAATTATTTCTCCGAAACACAAGCCAGGTGTCCAACCAGACCATCTTGGAGTTCTTACACAAATCATAAAAATGACACCTGTAAACCTGTTCTAGAAAACTAATTGCCATGTGTAATAAATAAAATTGCAAAAGAATGTAATCTATCTGAAAAAAATGTGAAGTAGAAGTGTTCTTCAAAACTTCAGCCAGAAGCTTAGAGCAGGAGAAATCAGAAACAAGATAAGGCTGGAACTCACTGAGGTATGGGATTGTCTTACTCCCTTTTCCATAGAAGGCAAAAGAGATGGGAGATGGTGTGTGCCTGAGTCACCCTAACGCATACATACATTACCACTACCAAAGTCATACTCTGGAGAGAGTGCATGTAGCAGCTGAAAGTGAGATTGGGTTTAAAGCTGTAGCTAGAAAGTATCAACCTTACAGATTTTCTCTAAGTGAAATGCTGAATGAATAGTAACTCCTTAACTTCCAAAAAGCCTCACGCATTTTGGCGAAACCATACAGATTTACTGCAGCCGAGGAGCTGATCTTCATAATTTTAAAAGAACTAGCAGCCATGACAGAGGAAGTTGGTGGTTTAAGTTTAAATATCTTTAAGTTAACTCCAGGCTTACTAAGTTTTAGTACCTGAGTTTAAATAACCAGTCATCAGTTTGTAAAAGCCCTATGCTGTGAGGAGAGGCTTGATGGCTCCTGAGAGGAATCATGGTACCAAACCCCCCACTATCTCAGGTGGATAGCTTCCTCTGGCTAGTCCTAGGTTACACTCCTTAGCTCCCGGACAGGGTATTTAGCAATGCCTAGGAATGGGACCTTACAGTCGTGAGGGGCAGACCTGATCCATTTGCAGCACAGCTGCAGCCAAGGACTGTTCAACAGCAGAACCGCACTGGCAAGGAGCGCTGAAATGAAACCTCTCCACACCATTATTTATTGCGGGACGCTTGCAGTCTGAGAAGTCTGTTTTCACCAGGTATTATTAGCTAGTGAAGAAGTTCTACTGCTTTTAGAACACAGCAGGATTTATGTATTCTTCTATACTCAAAAGCACCAATTAACGAGATTAAAGAGCCAGATTTAATGTCTTGTTAAGGAGCTTCTGAATTGCTGGGCCAGCACTGGACTTTAGAGGACTTGTAAATTTGCAGTCCCTTTGCAGCTTCATTAATATAATTGACACGAAGACGTACTTGGAGCTACTTAAATTGTTTTTATAGATGCAGCATATCAACTGATCCCTTTGGAGTATTTTGTGGAGTCATGGACATCCTCAAAACTATAGAGGGACCTAAACAACACTTTTACTATACTGCTGAAGTGGACTCCTAGGCAAAGGACTTGCTGAAAGCAAATGCTTGATTACTGCAAAAAGTGTACTTACCTTGCCCGTCTTCCGTTACGCATTTATCTCCTTCATACATCTTAATAGGCATAGCTACATTAGTATCTCAAAAGACGTAGTGCTCAGCATGGACATTAAAACCATGCTAAGAAACCATCTTATTCTAACACAGGACAGGTCTTGCAATATCCCTCCCATAACTGTAGTTCAGGCCTTATTTTCAAAGTGCAGGATAATTATCAGAATTACATAAGATTTGGGTTACTTCAGTCAAGTACACCTCCAACTGTTAGGTATAATTGCAAAAACATTAGCTACCCTGGGTACACTCACAAAAACAAGAAAACATGAAGTCAAAAGAGACAGATTAAAACCTTTGTTTCTTTTCATGCTTTTGTCCATTAAGAGACACCTAGTGAAATCATTTGGGTGAACTTTACTGACTTTCACAAGCAGCATTTCACCTTGTATGTGGGTTACATTTGATGATTTTAACATGAGAAGTGTTTTTAAATGTTTTAAAGAGAGGAGCGGTGTTAAAATGGGCTTAGGAACACAATCAGACTGACCTTACTTTGGGGCTTTCTAAAACATTAAATGTCAGTTTAACCATGAAAGATCTGAATTTTCGATATAGTCTTCAAACAGAATATATGGTGGCAGGAAAAGAAGTGAAAAATTCAAAGTCTTACCTCTCCATGGACCTATTTCCTATACCTTCCTCACCTTCCCTTTCTTTGGGTAGCGTGTGGGAGAATAAGAGAGAATAAAGTCTTCACACACATTATGAATGTGTTTTTCATTAACTGAGTACCTTACAATTTTATTAAAAAGAGACATGAAAAATCTACTACACATTTGCAGCAAGCCTTGATTTTCAGTACCTCATAATCTGTTTCAATTAAAAAAACCCAAAAAACTCCTAGAAAAACCTCGAAGGGACATCTATGCGACGACACCTAATTTCAAACCCACTTTACATTTTAGCTCTTAACACTGTGACCATCACTATCAGTATCCATTTAACTTTTAGACTGATGTAATGACACGCATGACAGATGCTGAGAAGGAATAATGTGCTGTCACAACAGGTACCTATGAAAGAGCCATTCCTTTCCCAAAGAAACTGC